GTATAAGAGAGAGGAGAGAGAGAGAGAGAGAGAAATTGTCTAATGTATCGCAAATCAAAAATTTTATATTGAATTAGTCAAATGACGATGTGCCTATCGGATTTGATCATAATGTAAGTAGCAAAGATCAAAGTAGTTGAGACATATTTCCTCCAAACGACGACATAATGACGTCTATTCGAGTTTACAAGATGTCACTACATCATCTTTTAACATCACTCTGTTACTTGGGATATATGTTCCTTAAACTGTCTTACAACTTATAATTTTAATATTTCATATATATTTTATACATATGTATATTTGTATATACTATTATACTTTATGTATTTTTCACACTTCTGTATAAGCGTTTCGAATCACACGGCTTAATGTGAAATAGAAAAATGTTCTTATATTTTGTAAAAGAAAACTGTTTATTAAAAGAAAACTGTTGAACACACAGAACAAAGTAAAATCTTATTGAGTGAATAATACTCGTGCGTTTTTGACGGGAAAGCGACGACAGAACCTTTCTAGAAGTAATGGCTACTATACAGAGAGGAAACTTAACTAAAGAAGAAATTGAGCGCGACATCTATATTACTTATTTTAAATTAACAGTTCGAATCTTTCTTTACTTATAACATATACAGGGTGTAACTTTAATTCCCACTTAAATATCTTTTTTTCTACGTTAAAAAAAATATTTTCGGAAAAAATATATTGTAAAAATATGTATTCTAAAAATATGTATTCAAAAAATATGTATTAATGGTTTAAAATAATATTTATTTTAAACTGTACAGATATTTTTATGTAAAGCTTGATTTAAAATAAAGCGCCATTTGCAGCGATGTGTGCACCTAAAATGATAATGATTGGTCTTTCATGTAATAGAGTTCTACGTGTACTTTTATCTTCTTTTTTATTAAGTATTTTGTTGCGGAGAAAGAGTGTGTGTGAGTCTTCGAATAATGAAAATATAGAGCAGAACCAGAAGTTAATTTCTTTGCTATTCTAAACAATCTAGAGAAAGATAAATAATGATAAAATCAGTTTTCGAAAAAATCGATTTTTCAAATTCATATAACAATCATTTTTCAAATGGAATTATATGATTTTTTAAGTAATATAATTTCTTCAATTATTTTGTACATAAAAATACTAAATTTACCAAAAAATCAATAATTTATAAGATATTTTGAAACAAAAATAATATTTTTGTGCATAAAATATTGAGATTAATTCATTGATGTAAAAAAATACATAATTTTTTAAGAAATGTATGTAATTGCATATTGCAAATTGGGACACTCTGTATATATATAACTTTATGTATGTATCTGTGTAAAATTTATCTGAATTTAAATATTTATAAACATATTAATTACCACAAACTAAAATATATGTAATAGAAATATTAATAATTTGTTTACTATTACAGACTATCTTACAAAGTAGGCATTGCTTGGAGAAAAATATAATGCTTGAATTTTTTAAGCCATTACTTGGCATGGGATTAATTACTGCTCCTGGTAAGATATATTTTAATATATACATATTAATACTTTCATCTTAATACGTAAATAGTTCTGTTCGTAAATGGTTTGATCTTTTTCAAATGTACAAAGACTGAAATTTTAGTTTTTTTTATGTAGACTAGATGATCACTAGAACAAAACAAAGCGCGCGCTTTGCGCGCGCCATTTATTTACTATCCCTGAAACACACACACACACACACACACACACACACACACACACACAAATACAAATATCATATTAAATATCTCATTACTTTTACATAGCTTTTATGTATATCTCATGTCTTATCTAAAAAAGGTGTGTTAAGTCGATAACTCCCATTTCTCGTCTTACTTTTTTCTTTCAGATATCAGTTTTTATTTAACAAAATACATTCCACGCCAAAATTAAAGGATCATCTATTCTGATCGCTAAAAATGGGCAAATTTCTAGAAAGTGTAACTTCGTCAAAAATGATCGTAATAGAATGATCAAAAAAGCATTTCACAGCTTAAAGTCTCTACTTTCGAAATCCATAATTCATTAAATGACTTACTGATTCTTTAGAAAGCTGTACGGATGCAAATAGAGATGCATCAAATCTAAAATTTTTTTACTAAATTTGCGAAGTTCCATGGAGTAAAATAAAAATCGCATACAAATGCGACTTATGCGTTCGAAAGCGTGAATATTTTTAATTTGCGCACTCGATCAGCATTGTGCAATTTTTTTTCACAGAGTTACTCAACATTGGAGTAAAAATGACCATTTTTGCTTTCGTATTGAATAATTCGGTAAAAAAAAATCGCACAATGCTGATCGAGTACGCAAATTAAAGGTAAAGATTCACGCTTTTGAACGCTGTAAGTTGCATTTGTATGCGATTTTTATTTCACTCCATGAAACTTCGCAAATTTAGTAAAAAAAATTTAGATTTGATGCATCTCTATTTGCATCCGTACTGCAGCTTTGTAAAGAATCAGTAAGTCATTTAATGAATTATGGATTCCGAAAATAGAGATTTTAAGCTGTACTTTTTTGGTCATTCTATTACGACCATTTTTGACGAAGTTACACTTTCGAAAAATTTGTTTATTTTTAGCGATCAGAATAGGTGATTCTTTAATTTTGGCGTGGAGTGTATTATAATAATGCTAACAATATCTTTTTAAATCAACAGATATGTCGAAATATGTTTTTTACAATGATTAAGAGAAAAAGGAATTAAAGGAATAAAATAGCAATAGAAGGAAGAAAAAAGAAGTGTAAAAGTTTTGAAACGAAGAGAATTTTTGTGTTACAGGGTGTCTTGTACTCAATGGTACAGCGCTTGTGGGCAGGTAGTGTAGGACCAAACTGAACAATAAAGTCCTCTACCATTTTGCGATCTTCGCATTATCGAGATACTAATCATGTTAAAAAAAGAAAAAATTTTACATAATGGCCAAGTTATTACTTTACTTTGATTCTATTGATCATTTTAATAACTTTAAGTCTGTTTTACGAAACTTAAGGGGTAAGGCCACCTTCGGACGTACAAAATAAAGGCCAATTTTAGGAATCTTTTTCCAAGCGTATACTAAAACCGGTCAAAATTTAATGTGAAGTACATTATTAGTTATCTTCTAAGGTACAAAAAAACATTATTTTAAAAGTTTTTTACT